TTTACTTGGGGCATGTTGCACTGGTATAATAGAGATTCAGGCACAAGCTTTTGCAAAACCTCAGCAAGGAAGTGTTTAAAACAGCAGCAATTGAAAGGGAAGCAAAAAGTCTCTCTCTATGTAATTTTTCAATCCTGTGGGTGCTTTTCCTTCCTTCCTTCCTTTTTTTTTTTTTTTTAAACAAGGCTGCTTTATCAAAAAGAGTTACTTCTTCAGAAAATCAATTTAAAATAAATTCAAGTTGATGGCATCCTTTTAATACAACTATTTTCAAAGAAAGAGCTGGTCTCTGACATACAAATAGATATGTTCCCCCTATTTATTCAGTACCAGAGAAAAATACATTAATGCAAAGAATTCATTTAATGGCTGCAAAGTCAAACAAACAAAAAGGCAGGGAATTCAAAGTTATGATTCCCCATGGCAACAAGCAAGTAGAATTGCTATCACAGCGAGGGCTGTTAAATTTTGTGCGTTAATCTGTACTCCTGACACTGCTGAGTTGCTGTGGCTGTGGGAGTTATGGGCTGGATAAGCAGACAGTGTAAGTGCACCCGAGTGAACCGGAAAATTACTCATGTAAATAGATAATTGGTCCATTTCCATATGCAAGTTGGGTGGGTTTGCACTTCCCATCACAGCAACTCTATGTAAATTAGGTCCTCACTTGTGCACCTTAATTAGCTGAAATTCTGGCTTATTATTTTCCCTGGCTTTCTGCATCTACATTCTCGTTGCATTCACCCAAGGCTTTCTATATTGAATATCCTTTTTCTAAAAGAGAGGAAGAAATGCACGAGAAAGAACTCTCACTTATCACACTTATAAGCAAACACTGTAGGTCAAAGTAATTGCTGGGTTCAGGAGTGCACCTCTACAAAAGCCAGGTATATATGTTTATGCACTGATTGGTTTAATCCAAATACACAGCTGTGAGGCCTGTTTGAAATTTAAGCTTTCCAAAAAGCTGTGCCCAGGCAGAAGAAATATCAGCTCCAAAATGTAATTTTTCAGGAAGTCATAAACCATTGAAAAGGAAAGCACTACCTACACTACAAATACAGCAACTCAAGGAATACGTGGTTTCTGGCAAAATAATAATTGTGAAGCCTGACATGGACGTAACTGATCTCCCTTTGGCTAACAGCAGGCTTGGGGCATGGAGCCTTCAATGCTAAAAGGATGGACTTCTGCCACCAGTTGGAAGCAGTTGGCTGGTACTACCTACTGATGTTGGACAAGGACTCTAGCTCGGGCTCGCCTGAGGTGGCTTACAGACAGTGGAGTTGAAAAGAAAGACCACCATATATATCACATCAAACCAGTTGCTGCAGGAGCGTCACAATCTTGCAAAGAATAAGAGCCCAAGTAACAAAGGGCGCAGACAGAAGTTACATTTGTCATGCGATCAGCCACTTTAAAAGCACTCCACAGCTGTGCTGTGGCATGCATACATGGCTGCAGAGTGCTTTTAAAGTGCCTGATTGTGCAACAAATTAACCCTCAATAAATGAGAGATCAGATGATGGCTCTCCACTTAAGAGCACTTTAGGAAACTTGTGTTCCCTCGAATTAATTTGTGGCACAATCTGGGGTTTGGCCAGCCTCAGCTGGAGGGTGGGTGGGTGCAGTGGTGGCCCCTCCCTAGCCCCCCACCCCTCCAGCTCACACTGGGCAAATACCAGTCGGCAGATCGCTCCCCCTCTCTGCTCCCTTCCTGCAGACAGCTCCGGAGCTGGGAGGCTGGGGGATCAGAGGCGGCTCCTTGGCTGAAAGCAGGCTCCCGAAGGTGGCTTCTACTAAAAATCCTTTCTTTTTATGAGTCTACTCATAACATCTGATGAAGTAGGCTGTTGCCTCAGACAACTCGTCTCTCCCCGAATCAGTTAGTCTTTAAGGTGCCACTCTTCCCTACCTTCTGCCTGACTCCAGAGTAGCACAGCTAAGTCTGGCCCTTCCTGTAGGCAGCCTCAGCTGTAAGGCCAAGGAAACGAGCAGATCTATTCTCTTACAGTCCTAGAGGGTAACCTGGAGATCCAGATAGAAGTATGCTAGTTGAGCAGTGAAGGGTGGGGGGAGTTTGCATTGAACTCTGCCATGGAGGACTCGCATCTTCAGCTCAAATGAAAGGCAGTGGTAACTAGGGCCACACGTCTGTTTTGTTAATACAGGTTGTGCTTTGCGAATAGAACGCCACGCACCGTGTGAACAACAGGAACCCAGACACGATTCACAGGAACCCGTTACTAAATTCAGTGTATGTTTTATAGAGGTTCCTGGAACAGACTCAAATAAAAACCTCACCAAATAAATCACACTCAAGTAAGCAGTTAAA